ATCAGACGCAATCATGAGACCGTGCCAGAATTTCCCACATCTGAACGCCACGATCGGCCTTACAGAGAAACTGTCGAAGATCTCTGATTATATTTGATTCATCCTTTTAATCATACCCACAATAAACGCACATTTGCTTTGTTCCCTAAATGAGAAAGAAAATTCATTCGACCGCCTTGTAGATTGTATGATCTCGGCAGTCGTTGGCTATTCTCATCAGATCGGCGACACTGGCATAGGAGGTTGCTGGGAAGAAGCTTGTCACCGTCATTCGATCCCCGATCGCATGGTGATAGTCGACGACTACACAGCTTTGGTCTCGACTCAGCTTACATAATCGCACCTCATCTAGCCAGATGCATAAATGCCATCTGAAATCAATCTCAAAGGAATTCGATGAAATTCCAGTCGTGGGAGAAAACGACTCAGAGACGGAAGATTATGAAGATAACGGAGTAACCGGCTCGACCGGCGTCGACTTGGTTGAACTCGACGGAACGGTCGATGTCGTAACAATGACACTTGCTGGAGTGATTGAATTGGTGGTTGAAGATGATTTAAGGGTTGTAGCAGTTGTCAACACTGGTCTAACAGTAGTAGTTGAAGCTGACAGACGAACAGTTGTAGATCGAGAAGAAGGAGTGGCCTTAGTAGCCCGAGTGGTCCGATAAGAAGATGAAGGCTTTATCGTAGTACTCGAGAGGAAAGCTCTAGAACAGCGGTTCCCAACCATTTTGGCTCCGCGGCTCCCTAGCGAACCCAGAATTCCCCCGCGGCTCCCAGGATCCCACTGCCCACGCGGCTCCCGCGGCTCCCAGGATACCCAGTGCCCACGCGGCTCCCGCGGCTCCTACCCACTCTCCCTTATTTTTCCCCTAAAAGGACCATTCGCAGCTCAATTCCGGCACTCATAACTTGCATGTACATATATTGTTTACAAATATTCCGCCTCCCTCACGTAAATTCCCCGTTAAAGAGACTGAACGGGAATCTCCGGAGACAAGCAGCTCTTGGCTGGAGAAGGTAGCCTCGCGGGCATACCAGAGCTCTCTAACAAATGAGTCCAATCTCTCTCGACGGAAGAGAAGAGTTGAGCTTCTCGAAGCTCACGGGAAAAAGCTTAGTGGTGGATGAAGTGTCCTCTGCGGGGAAGACACAAGGAAGCAAAAGGTGCGCCGAGCGGTGGTGTGAAAGCGAGTGAGATTTTATTTTAGCTTCGTTCACTCCTCGATAGAGTTGGGCGGAATGGCGGGAACACAACCGTGGCAGATGAAGTCGATCCGTTTCGGAACCTTCCCTTGGAATTGACAAACCCTGACGGCCCGAACCTACGCCAGAAATTCGTC